AGGTGATATGATTACTGTCAATTAACAATTTCAATATTAAACATTGAGAACACAAATTACCTCAAAAATTGTTTCAACTTGCAACCCGTAATCGTCAGATATAATTAATTCAATTCCGGTACCTATATAGTCTTCTGATAAATCTTGGCACAAGGAGTCTTCATGAAAAGCCACTAAAAAACGAGATGAGTTGGTTAGAAATTAAAATATATAACCGATACGATACTAACTATTTTGTTTGAACTGATTCATAAAAGGGAAGGTTAAGGATAGCAGACGCGACACCCACGAATAAGGAGGAGGCATGTGTATTAGACAAATTTACATAGGTAGTTGTGATTGTGATCACTGCAATACTTCCTCCGCCGCTGCCTGATCATTATTATATTTTGCTTTTGAGGGATACGAAATATTGTTAAGTGACAACTACTGATGAATCCTTTGTGGCCCCGCAGTGGTATCTCCTGCCGCTGCACGTCGTAGAAGCGCATGTACAGACGCAGGGGCAGCGCGTCGCGGGCGCACTCTGCAACAATGCGCATACTCTACTTAGGTATATTTATTCACTAAATAGCAAGAAAGGTCGAGCAAGGACATTGCAGGACCATGGTCCTTGAGCAGCAGCGTGCGCACGCGCAGGCCGCAGCGCGCCGTGTTGTCCAGCACTAGCCGTCGCGCCGGGTCCGACCGCGACATCCTGACACACACAGTTACAACATTTCTTCACCTTAATATTATTTTTTTTAGGTAATATTAAGAAAATGACTTCAACTGAACATGAATGAGAAATTTTAAGTCATTTAAAAGTTTAAAGAGCAGCTACGGCGTCGTTTTCACTGCGCCTCAATAGATGGTGCTTTGTCAAGAATGGCTTATCTATACAGGGACACGAGGCGCGAATTAAAGTTGACAGCTGATATAGTCCCGTTGAGATAAAGTACCAGTAAACACATTTAATTCACTATGTCTCTAAATAAATGGCCCTAGATTTAACATGAACAGCACAACTTGAATGTCACCATAAGACGGGAGGCTCGGTAGACTGGCCTGAGAGCTGGCTGGCAGGCTGGCTGGCGGGATGGCTGCCGAGCTGGCTAGCAGACTGGCAGCACGGCCGCAGCGCAAACTGCAACGGCGCTCCCACCACTTCCGCCCACACGTCTAACACCAGCGGTGCCATCTGCTCCGTCTGTTTTATAATAACAAACGTGTTGCATTTGCGTTTCTTCTTCTTCTACATACAGCCTGTATGCATACTGCATTGGCCTGAAGGCGGTGGTCCGACTGGAAATACTACTTCGCTCTGCGAGCATACCTAGCTTTCTGTAGATCAGCGATGCCTTGTCTTACAAGTGACCGTAAAACAGAACGTCATTCAATATTTCAGCGCCAATAATACTAATACTGGCTGAGGCAACCAAGAGGAAGTGCCCTCGAAGCAAAGATCCACGACATACATAGACTCCGGCTGCAGCCACTATATTGAGTAGAGTGTTGTGTCTGTGAGATACCTGTAGGAGCAGCTGGTCGCGGTACAGGCCCCAGGTGTGCGCGTGCACGCCCAGCGCCAGGTGGGACGTGCCGCCAGCGACTAGCACTCCCCCCGCCGGCAAGCACTGCACACGCACGCCCGCCGCCTCCGCATCCACTTCCTCTGAACAGTGTCCTGCGATTAACAACCTTCACGTCTTTCTCGATACTGAGTGTTACTGTATTCTTACAAGTAAACAGAGGTGTACCGTGCAGCTGTGAGAGCGCGCGCGCGTGCGGCCAGCGGCGGACATGCGCGCTCCAGCGCAGCGGCAGCGCGCCCGCATTGTGCAGCGCCACCTGCCGCCACTGAACTGTTCACACGACGATTTATTATTTAAGCATCTACTCATTGTCTATAGATTCTAGAACTTACATAACTAAGCAGTTATTTATAATAAAAGACGAAAGGCCATTTTTTCATAGTAGGTATAATGACTTTAGAAATAAGAAAGGCAGGTAGGACTCCACAATTCCAATTATTTTGGTTTTTAATTGTGATACCAAAATTTACTTGTTACATTAATAGTATAAGAACGCACCAGTTCCGACAGGCACGCGTGTAAATTGCAGACAGAGCGCGGGGAGGCGTGGGGTCGCGGGGGGTGCGGAGGGCGCGTAGCAGGCGCACTTCTCACCGCCGCCTATCTCTATCTCCATCGCTATCTCCTCCACTGTCTCCACCGCTGTGTCTGCCGCAGTCTCCGATCCTGTCTTCGCTGATGTCTCTGGCGCTGTTTCTAGCACTGTCACCTCCGCTGTCTCCGGCACTGTATCCTCCGCTGTCTCTGGCACTGTCTCCAGCATTGTCTCCACCCCTGTCTGCAACGCTGTCTCCACCGCTGTCACGATACACGACACAAAAATTTGCGTTTGCGTGCATGTATGAGTAAACGTAAATTGGTAGAATTAGTTCATACATTATTTAAGATTTTTAAAGTCTAAAATGATGTAACTCTATTTTTAGCTTTTGCTGTAGTTTATTTGGTTAAACTGTTGAAGGTATAATTTTTTATAGAATTTAATCCTCAAGGCTGAACATTCCGAGGCCTGAGTCTCTCGGTCGTATGAAGGTGGAAAAATTATATGTAGTTAGATTACCCTGAGTTGCACGCATTTGTTCGAAATCAGCAAATATCTCCTCCGGTAAAAGTGAGGTTTTATTGTCACCAGTCAGGTAGTCCCACGGTATAACGCTGCTCTGACAACAAAGAATGTGAACATTGGGAAGGCATTTGACGTTAGTTTAGTTTGAGGCTGTATACGTATCTAGCTGAGCCTCAGTGTCGCCACCGCTGGATTTTCACTTGCGACCTGACATCACTATCAGTATTATCACAACAGGTAAGTATTCCATATTGTTATGCAATTGGTTTGCTTACTTCACTCCTAGTGACGGTCACCACAGATGTGACATCGTCGCCCGTAGGGATGTCGATGCTAACTTTTCTTCCCTGAAAAGTTTATACTTTATTAAGTTGATGAAATATGAAGTTGATGAGTACAGGTTGCCGAACAGAGTAAAACAGAGTAATCTATGTATATCTGCACTTCATCCAGATTTATTTAGTCGTTAGGAGGTACCAAGTAAAATAAAAAAGAACGTTGCAGCTTTTGTGGGAAATAAACTAGACTAGATTGAAAGACAAATTAAGTTTTTACTTTAGAAAGTTTAAAGGTATAGTTTTCGAAACGGTTTCTTTATTACATCGCTTTTATGGTTAATGTACGCAAAAATAAATATCGTGTCTCTTTGCAATATGGAGAAGGTTTTTATGTGCCTCATCATGTTCAGCTCACTCATACGTTCCAACTTAGGGGCTCGGAGTGTACACTAATAACTTAAGGTGAGTAAGTCATAATCAACCTCGCTAGCCCACTGCGGACCCACTGCTAATAGCGGCTTTCGCCCTCTCATTCCCCTAACATATTTTGGGTCAGGGACCTGGGGATCGGATGTATATTTTTTTATTCATTCATAAATTTACAATTACAGAATATACAATAAAATTCAATAACTGCGGGTTGGTTGACTCAATACATACATATCTTTAAATTTCTTCATAGATACGTGTAGATTGCATCTCCGTTTTCTTGGTCGCAAGAACGTCGGGTGAATATTTATGAAATTCAAAAAATCGAAAAACACATTCGGCATGGCGAACCTAGGTCTTGCAGATTACTAGTAAAGGGCTTAACCCCTGAGCCACGGACGTTCCTTGTATTATATATTAGTACCGGCTATGTTACTAAACAAGCACGTTATTTTATCGTTTATTGACGTCCACCCAATGCCATCTTACGTCAACTGCGGTGTCGACCAGCAGGTAGAGGGGCGAGGCTGCGTGGCGCACGGTCGCGCGGTAGGCACGCACGCGCCGCGCGCTCGCCCTCGCCGCGCGCAGCGTCACCTGCAGCCGCGCCCACGCCACTGTAAACTCGCACACGAACACTCACTTGTTTAACTACAGAAAAAGTTGCCTTGTTCATTGTAACGAGACAAACTCCTCTTCTTTCGACAAATATCTAAATAGATAGAATAGCAGTGAGTGGTGCAAACGGAGGGACAATGAGGTGCCGGAGGCCTAATTTTAGTCCCTGTCCCTTTCTACCTTTTTCTTAAAAGAAAAGGATGGGAAGGAAAAGGATTTGACAGTGGAGGAGATGCATAGGAAGAGGAAATGTCTTTGTGTGGGTCTCCTTTTCCGTCAATTAAGGGTAGGCAACGCATCTGCAAATGCGGATGTTTATGGGCAGCGGTCGCTTTTCATTTCCGTGGATTCAGGTGGCCGCTTCCTCGTTTGCCACCTTATATTATTATATAAAAAAATTATAAAAAGAGACTGGCCGTGTATCCCTAGCCGACTTTTTTCGTACAGATACATATATAAGCTGCGTTGTATTGATTTTTGTTCCGTGTCTCTGTGTGTATACGTTTGTAAGTTTGACAGAACACTAACTACAGAGACAATATTGAATGCAAACCTGGATCAAGACCGTAGCATACGCATCTATCTCGCACTCCGCGGGAGAAAACCTTACTCTCAGAACGTCGTTAACTTCTGAAAATTAGTGAGTGTAGATTTGGCGCGACAAATGTGCGAAAAAATTGCTACTTCACACTTAATTACAAACAATGCCAGCTCGTTTCCTTAACAGGGGATTTGATAGGGTAGGGAGGCACAATGAGATTCAGATATCCTTTATAGACATATAACCTAAAAGAAGTTAAAAAAATAAGAGCGTTTAAAGGAGCAAATAAGCACTCCCTACATTTTACCAACTTCCCCCCCCCCTCCAGTTCTTACCACCTATTACCTTTTACCTTTTTT